GTGCTCAGTCTATATCAGAGCTCCTATGCTTGGAGGAGCAGCATTGGTGGTGGTAGAACAGTGACATTCCCAAAAAGTTGAGAGACAAGGTGGATGAGGTAATATTGTTTATGTACTAACTTCTGTTGGTGAGAGAGACAAGCTTTCAAGATACTCTTCTTCAGCTCTGGGTTGCTTGAAAGCTTGTCTCTCTCACCAACAGAAGTTGGTCCAATAAAAAAAAAAATTACCTCACCTGCCTTGTCTCTCTAATATCCTGAGACCAACCCAGCTACACCACCACTGTTCCCAAAAATCTCTATTGTAGATGTCAGTTGGAGAGATGCAAAATCAAGTGAAACTCTGGTGCTGATTACATTTTGCACTAAGGATTTGGACTGTTCCCATGTGCACCAGAGAAACATTTGCACAAGTCGCTGCAAACCAAAGCGCCCTAGTTTTGCACAGCCCTGTTTTTTTAAATAACATAATATCCCCACCTAGTGGCTAGCTAGGAAGTGACATTATCTACTGCAATAATATGGTATATGAAGCCATTATTATCATTGCAGCTTCCCCTCCTTATAATCTATCACTACCCATACAGCAAAACCCACAGTTCTTTCCATAACATAAATAAGGAACAATTAGCTTTGGATCCTACTAATATAAAGTAAAAGAAAAGTAGACACGTGTTAAGGTGACATTAACCACAAAAAAGTACTGAACATTGCAGTTTGTTTCATCTCTGTTGGATTCCTGACATAATTAAGGTTTGGAGCCATCACCCTTATTCATAACTGCATATAACATTTCTGATTTTAAAAAATAATTAGAAATAGAAATGAAAGCATTCTATGGCCATAAAGATGTGAAAGAATTGACAGAAAGTAGCTAAATAAAGTTGTTCTCTACCTCCCTAGTCCTTTAGGTCATCTTTCTCCTTTTCTTCCCTTCCATTTTTTGACTGTCATTTCTGTTTCATATTATCACCATTTTCCTTTTTTCTCCCCCATCCTCCCAATTCTTCCAGTCAGCTTCTTTACTTCCATGAGCTACCATCAGGAAACAATTATTTTTCTTATTGATTGTCTGAAGGCACTGCTTGGCCATAGGGGCAATAGATTTTGGAGGCAGATATACAAGGTGGCAATAACCAATAGGTGCTGTAATCCACAGGCTAATATACAAGGTAGTAGGTATCTACTATGCTGATACGAATTTGAACTCTGCAGCGTGGGAAATAAAACAAACACTTACTAAAAGTTTATACATCTGTTCATGTATGGTTTTCTTTTTAAAATCCTTCTTGCCGCTGAAATAAAAAAAGTTATGGGACAAATTCTGCCGTCAGGTGAATTGGCATAAATATGGAGTAATTACATTTACTTCACTGAAATTACTCTGAACTGATGCTTGTGTAACTAAGTGCAGAATTTTCCCCAAGATCTATGTTTAACATTTACTGTACATATACATGTGCAAATTCAGATTCTACTGACCCATTCTTCACAGATGTATTCCTCGCTCTAAGAACAGGTAATCACATCAAAAGAGGAAGAAAGTGCTATAAAATGTTTTCTTCTAATGACTCCTTCAATAGTATCAGAATTCCACAGCTCATAATGAAAAAAATCCACTCTTTTAAAGAAGCAAACTGTACAAGAGTAAATGGCACTCTTGAAGAAGAAAGACCCTTGAGGCAGTATAACTTTACATAGGAGGATTCCACTAAACAGGCGTTTGCAGCTACCTGATGAAATGGAAACTAAATTAAAATGTATTGATGGACTGAACTGAATGCTTTTTCTAGACTGTTTACTATAATTAGATTTACAATTACATAGATTACATTTTAGGTCTAGGTTCTGTAGAGACCTTTGTCTAAACTTCAAAGGATGTCTGCTTCCTTTTAAAGTATTTGCCCTACCTTCACATCAAACTTGTCAGAGTGCAGAAATGCTACATACCAGCTTTTCCAGCTCCAGGACATAGTAAAATTTACTCTGACAAAAAAACCTTATTTTTCTATAAAAATGTATTATAACTGTAATAATAGTCTACTCTAGGAAAATATGTGATGAGACTTGCTGACATTCCAAACAAACAAAACAGAACAAAATTATGTACTATAGTTAGTTGAAACAGCTGGCAAAGAAAAGAAAAGCAACTGTCACACTTGATATTAAGTAGTAAGATGAATGGGAAAGATATTTTCAAACATACCCAAGGGAATAAATGGAATGATCTATGCCATGTTCTATCCTTGTTCTACATGCCTCAGATCAGTGAGAGTTGTGAACAGATCTGCCACATTCATACAGTAATTTAGGGCCCACTGATATCGATGGGTGCAGGATATAGCACCTAGGCAAACGGCACATTTTACTTAGATTCCAAGTACGTTTTTAGCTAGAACTTATGCCAAATGTATTTTGTAAAGAGCAAGTAACTCTATTGTAAAATGCCCCCTTTACACATCTTTATTTAAGTCTTTGCTTATCAAGACTAAAAAGATTAAAACATAGCTGTACTTAAGTCCGGATTCAGCAAAGCACTTAAGCATAGCATTAAGTGTTTTGCTGACTAATGATGATTTCCTGAATCAGGGTCTTGTTCTCCTGTCCTCCAAATAGTAGTACATCAAAACCAGCAGAGTTAAACCTGGCACTAGTTTGGTGGTCTCAGTTCAGTTCCAGTGGACAGGTGTCTATGTCAAAAAACAGTCGTCACAGCTGATATTGTCACTCTTGTTGGCAGTTTTAGTAGAGATGGGCATGAAGATTTAATTACCCTTCTGCTTATATCACTTGTTCTTTGAAGCTTGACTACTGACAAACACTTGAGTGGAGCAAGGGCAGCAGCTTCTCTTTTAAAGACCTACTCCCAACAAGTGTTACCTAAGCGAAGGAAGGAGGAGAGGCAATTGAAGAAGGAAGAGCCAGAGAAGAAGGTAAAAGGAAGGAGACAGAGGGGAAGGAAAGGAGACGGAACTCACTTCTCATGCACATACTGCTGTTTATTTGATAAACTTACACAATTGCATAGAAGATTTAAATTAACTAGATTTAAAATTGTTTAATAAAAATGTGTTTTAGTAATCTTGATGAAGAGGTTGCATAGTTCTGACATCCGTGTTTATTGCAAAAATAATGACATAGGTTTGGAACACTTTCAGCCAATTAGATTTTCCCTTTCATTTAAGCCATTTTATAAAATAAAAGGAAGTCTGACCATAAATTTGTGCAATCTATTGGCTACTGTGGATAGAAATTAGATAATATTCATTTACTATTTAAAGGAATATTATTCAGTTTCTGTACACTCAATGGCAGACAGCAATACTTCGGAAGTGTCTGGTACAGCCCCAGACAATGAGACCTCACGTGAATGGAATCCAGATTAAACACTCCAATTTTTTTTAAAGTATAGAAAAGAAATATACCTAGCATACTGTAAAATAGCAATAACTAAAATGGAATTTCTTATTGGGTAGTGACTGATCTCAGGCAGTGGAAAGCCTGAGTTGCTGCCAAAATATACTGGCTTGTTAACATTACATACACTCAATTCCCTCATGTTAGAGATGTCATGACTCATTTGGATGAGGTGAAAATGATTGTAGGCACCTACACTGAAAAATGTGGTGCCCCTCCATGAAAAGTGATATCACTGGGTACACTATTAAGCTTTTACTGTTAAAAGTATTAAATGTCAAACATATCATTAAAGCATTATTCTATAAATAACAATAATGGAACAAACCATCTCTTTTGAAAAAAAATTAATAAACTGATTAGCTGAATTGTCTACCATGACATATTAGAAATTACTTAGAAATTGGCACTCATTTAAAATTAGACTAAAAGTACTGAAGCATGTTACTATAGTGACGAGTTATAATTTCTCTGATTCACTGGAATATGAAATTAAGCATTTAAATATTAAAGTTGGGGAACTTCTTTAATGAGTTAAAAGTTGTATGTTTTTTCTTTAATGACCTCATTGCTGTGCAGTCCGGGTGCAATAAGTACACAATACTTTGATAACAGCAAATTAAAATGCCCACAACCAACAAACTTTACAGACTTCTGGTGCAGCTGATGGATGCCCATCAAATGTATATGACATGGGTATGGTTCTGCAGCCATGCTCTGACCCCTGAGGAATTTTGTTGGGGTTCTGAGTGTTGTGTAAAAAATACGTGGCCTCCAATTCCACAACATTGCTGTGGCATTTAAGAGATGCCTAGCTCCATTATTTAATTTAATGGAGAGATAAAATAATTTTAAATTTCTCTCTCTTGCTGTGTACCTATTTTGTAATTGTGGTGGTTATTAACTGGTACCAATGGGTTTGTATAAAACTGATTTTTTTTGTGAATGTTTCTGCAATTTTGTTTCAGGTAACTTTGCACCTGCTATATGTGCTACCTTTTTGCAGGACTGTTTAAGATTGGACTTTCAAATCAAAACAGGTGAAAACATATCTTAGTCTGATTGCAACTTTACATTTTCACTCAGCAATGATGTGACTTTCAGAAAAGCTCAACATTTCTCAGACACGCCATCGTGCCCCGCTTTTTTGCAATACGTTAGTAAAACTGAAATCACACTAAGCGGAGCAAATATCGCGAATTGCGGAGGCTTTCCCTCAGTTTGGCTGTATTTGCAGGAGCAGAGGGAACAGTGGATTTGCAGCCCTAGGGATGAACACGCTGTACCCTAGCAGGCTGGGATTCACATGGAACAGTGGGACTCCAACATTGCTATGAGCTTTGTCAGCATCAGGGTAAGAAGCCCTCCCAAGTCCACTTCACACCCCCACCCTTCTCCTTCAACGCCGCACTCACATGGTAGTACCTCTCTCATTGGTTCCTTCATACCCTCCTTTTAATTGGTCGCACACCCTCCCTCAACCTCCAAGGGTTTTTAAAAGCTTTCCCCGCCCTACTCGACTCTCGACACGTTCTGATTGGTCGCTGGCGCCCGTCAATTTTGTCAGGTGCCCACTCGGACGGCTGCTGATTGGTGCCGCTGGGGCGTCAGACAGTGCCACGCGCCGAAGAGTGGGAAAGTCGGTCGTCGTGGTGGCGCCGAATACCACGCGCGTGAGAAGGGCGGTGGCAGGTGAGGCGCTCGCGCTGCCATTGCCCCTTCCCCAGTCCCGGGAGTCGCCGTTGGCGGTAAGGGTCTCCCGGGAGGGGGGCTGTTCAACGTTCTGTGTAACGGTTCCACCTCGGCGGGTGGGGCCGGGTATCTTCAGCCTGAAGTCTCTGCCGCGCCGCTGGGATGGGCGGCGGCTGACAGGCCAGCGCGGGTGCGGCCCCAGAAGCCCCGTGGGGGGAAGCGGGCGGGGGGCTCTGGACACAGGCGCTGACTTTCTCATTTCCCCGGGGTTCTCGACTCCCGCTCGGCTCCAGACTCCGCCCTCACACCACCCCTTCCCCCTAAGGCTCCACCCCTACCCTGCCTCTTCCTGCTCTGCCCTTTCCCCTCCCCTCCCTTCCAGTGTCTCCTGCCCGCCGCTGAACAACTGATCCGTGGTGGGTGGGAGGGAGAAGCTGATTGGCGGGGCCTTCCCGTGGGTGCTGAGCATCCACTATACTTTTTCTGTGAGTGCTCCAGCTCCAGAGCACCCTCAGATTTGGCGCCTGTGGCTCTGGATGGAAAAGCGCCTCTGTGACTGTTGTTCCAGTGACTCCAAGGCAGCACCAAGAGACCCAGGGAGCCTCTCCCCTGCCACCCTTCTCTCCCTGGGACCTACTCCCACGCCACCTCTGCCCCACACCCAGGCCTTTGTCCGCCTTCCCTGTCCCTTTCTCACAGCCTCCAGCGCTGTGTACAGCCACCCCAATCCCACAGCTCCCTGTGCCCTGCCAGCCAGCCCCTCCCCCTGCATCAAATATAACATGCCCTTTCCCTGCTACGTAGGTCTTGATGTTTCCACAGATATTCCCACCCCCTTCCTGCCAGCTTGATTGGACTGGGTGCAGCAGAGGCAAATCCATTTGTCCCGTGTGGTGTCCTATCAACAGTGAGACGTGTGTCTGCCAAGTCGGGGTCTGCTGAGTGACTGCCGTTCCTTCTGGGCATGCGTGGCCTGCATGCTGCCAACCACGGTAAAAGTAACCCAGGCTATGTCTACGCTTAAACAGCTACAGCTCCTCAGCGCAGCCACTTGCCAGTTCTACAGTGGGGTTTTCCCTTTGTTGTAAATAAGCTACCTCCCTGGGAGGTGGTGGGGTGGCTAAATTGATGGAAGAATTCTTTGGTAAACCTGGCACTGTCCACGCTGGGGGTTAGGCTGGCATAAATGTGTCAGGGGTGTGGACCCCTAAAGACAGAGCTATGCCAATGTAAATTTTCAGCATAGATCAGCCCTAACAGCTAGTGTGGCAAGCTGCAGTTGTGCCACACTCACCTCTATCATCATCACTATCCAGGAATTACCAGGAAAGAATTATTCCACTCTCTTTTCCCTCATGCCCGACTTAATCTCCATTTTAATGCAAAGGAACGGCAAAGAGGGTGGGGTGAGCAATAATAAATAGTAATAAAATAATAACTAAAGACATTTTCTTTCATTGGTCTATTTATGTGTGATATGTATTTAAGTTCTTATGTTCAAATAGCAGCCTTCTTTCTATGGATACTTTTTTCAAACACTTATACCTCCAGATGTGTATGTTAATTTCAATGAACAAAGGCAAAATAACTTACCTGACTGTGTAGGTGTTAGCCTAACATGTGCCCATGCAATGTTTTGCTGCTTGAAAAATGTATACATACAAGGTTTCCAAGTGGTGGCTGCTTTGGAAATCAGGCCCTTAATGTTAGTGGTTTTTGAAGTAATTCTCTTTCAATTATTTTTTATTTTTATTTAAAGAAAATACTGTTCCTAGAAATTTTTTTCATACAAAATGCTTTCCCTAAAATTTTGAGGTATAATAAATATTCATCTAATTTACTTAATCTATCTAATAGTTCTGTATGAGGAGTAGGACATTTGCATAGAAAAAATGATTTTCTTTTGACTTTCGTTTGTTAGTATTTTAAGATTGTATATTAAGCATGTACGCATTTTGTTTTTTATGTTGTGCAAGCACAGTGTCTGTCCCTGCTTCAGAACTGGTTTGCTCATTTTAAACATTGCTGACATTAAAATTATAGTAGTGAAATTAGCAAACTTAGTTTGTTAATAGAAATTTAAAAAAATCATTTGAGTGTTTTTAAAATTGATTGTTAAATTCAAGTTGAACTTTTCTTTAAAGACCAGTTGGAATTGAGCATGTTTTAAATATTATGGGGGGAAACTGAAGTATTCTAGTTTAAATCCTTCTAAACTGAGTTAAGGTTGTACCATGACATGCTGACTTGAAATATTTATGATGATAGAATTACTAACCCCACTTTTTTCAAATTTTTTAAAAGTCTTGTTGAGAGCTACAAAATAGGCTATGTTTGAAGAAAGTGAGTGGTAATTAATGTTCAGAAGCAGCAAAATGCATCCTGAGGTTTAACAGAGGCTGTCCTGACTCCAGTTTGACCTTGCCTCACTGTTGCCTCTTACACTGCACCCTCTGGCCCTCTTACAAGTTTCCAGGCCCCTGAAATACCACCTAGTTGTGAACTAGGTCGCTTTTAATGAAGAATATAAGTAAGGCTGTTTGCAATCCAGGATGGTATTACTAAAAAGATAAGGGTCCTTATTTCATGCATTTGTGGGAATTTGTAAATGGAGCAAGGGCCTGGAAGCTGTTCTCTGAGGGATAGGAAACTCCCAAACAGTAGCAGGAAGCTCAGCCTGTCAGGAACTACATGCTGCCCCATGGAAGAACTGCAGTGAATAGATCTCTGCAGATATCTGGCTCTGCATCGTGGCAGGAGTCCTGACTCCAGGAAAGGTACTGAGCTGAGAACCCTGCTGGAGGGCAATGGTGGACCCAAGTGGGAATGGATAAACTGATACTTGACTCTAAGATCCTGGGGTGAAGTCTTACTTATATTTTCATTGGGTTTTAGGTTGTTAAACTAGACCTCTCAGAAGGGGCATTGTTCCCTACATAAAGCCTTGGTGAACTTATTAATGACACTAAAGGAAACTGGCAGAAAGCGCTGCACTTGGCCACCATGTGACACTCCGTTGGCGAGTAAACCACATAAAACAGAACTTTCAGGCTATATCCTACAGATTATTAATGCTTATGTGTACTGTATTCTCATGTGTAATTTTATTGTAATAAATGAGACCATATTTGCAAGAAAATATATAGATAACTTGCTAGTTTAGAACAAAAAAGCTTACTCCTGCAAGGGAAGAATTTCATGAGGTAAAGTTGAAATAACTTATGCTGTTACTTTTCTGGCTTTTAGTAGCTATTGTATGTGGATAAGTCTAGAATTCTGTATTATGAAATTTTATCTTAATGTTTTGTTGAAGATATTGCAAATATGCATGACGAAAGTACAGATGTAACAAATGGATGTGGCAAAATCCGAACTGGTACTCAGAATGAGGCTGCCTTACTAGCTTTGATGGAAAAGACTGGCTACAGCATGGTTCAAGAAAATGGACAAAGAAAATTTGGTGGTCCTCCACCAGGTGAGCATTTGTTTGAAATTATAAAAATACCAGGCCAAGTTCTGCCTTTACTTTTTTCCCAGTTAAACCATTGAAATTGACATTTAGCAAAGAAAACAGGGAATTGAGAATACATCATAGGTGTTAAGGGCTTTCCCTTTGCCCCTCCCTTGGTCCTTGTCATGCAGATAGAAAGCAGAAGTCCTGAAGTCTGAAGTGCAGGCAATGCAATGTTTATTGGGGTTAATCAAGCAAGCATATCCATAGTTCTGTTTCCCACAGAGCCTTCCATGTCCCCTTTTCCCCCACCTCCTTCTTCTTGGCAGGCTTGATTATACCTGTAGTGCATGCCCCTGGTCCCATCCCTTACAATTTATGGTCATGTTCTGTTTTGGAGGCTCATGAGTCTGGGGACTTCGGTACCACCCCCTTTATCCCCATGGGAGGGGTAAGGAGTGAGGCTATGTATTGGCCAGGGTCACCTTTTCTCTGGATTTTTAGTTTCTCTTATGCCTCCCCTCCCCTGCCCCATCCCCTCTTGCCCTTCCCGACTGGTTTCTCGACCTTGCGTTGAGATAGGAGTCAAGGCAGTCTTCAAGTGTACACTCGTATATTAAGCTCCCACCATACCCAGCAACGCTTAAACTCTCTTCCTTATCTCTACTCATTGTGCTATAAACGTCATCTGGTTAGGCAGAAGCAACACACGGTATGTTTGTTCTTTGTTCACATATTAGTAAGGATATAAAAATATCAAAAATCAAACCCAAAATTCTATCCCAAGCTAAGAGACAGGCCTATATACTAACACATACGTGCAGTGAAACTAAGGTGACCTGGAAGAAGATACCTTAACTTGTATAACTTCTTGAATTTAATGCTTCATTTCCCAATTTAACATATCATTAATGGAGTTATTTATTTTAGAATGTTCCTCTTTTTGTTCTAAGGGTGGGCGGGGGGATCCATGTTTAGTTTAAGAATGGTGGCAGGGCAGGGCTGTGGAGGTTTGGACTTAATAACTAGGGCTGTCAAGCGATTAAAAAAATTAATTGTGCTATTAAAAAAATTCATCGTGATTAATTGCACTGTTAAAAGTAATAGAATACCATTTATTTAAATATTTTTGGTTATTTTCCACTTTTTCAAATATATTGATTTCAGTTATAACACAGAATACTAAGCATACAATGCTCACTTTATATTTATTTTTTATTACAAATATTTGCACTGTAAAAAAACAAGAGATAGTATTTTTCAATTCACATAATACAAGTACTGTAATGCAATCTCTTTATCATGGAAGTTGAACTTACAAATGTAGAATTATGTACAAAAAATAACTGCACTCAAAAATAAAACAATGTAAAACTTCAGAGTCTACAAGTCCACTCAGTCCTACTTCTAAATTTAAATTAGTATTCTATTGCTTAACAGCATGATTTAAACTGCGATTAATCACAGTTAATTTTTTGAGTTAATCCTATGAGTTATCTGTGATTAATCTATAGTCCTATTAATAAGTATTTCTTCACTTAAGAATGCACTTAAAATTCTGTGCATGCACAACATGGTCAACTTTAAACAGATATGATTTTAATTTTGAATCAGTTTTCCTCAAATTTTATTTTTTTAACTCACCATGAGATTTACAGGCAAATTTTGAACTATTTCGCACTTTTAAAGTTATATGAATAAAGAATTTCTGATTGGAATAAGTACGGAAACTGCAGTTTTTCTTACTTGGATAATTCAAAACCAGCTCAATGAATTTTGCTCAGACTTGAAGAAAAAATGTTTTTATGCTGAATAATATAATTGAATATTAAGCACAAATGATTTTATTGATAAAATTACAGACAATAGTGGAAACTGCATTTATGCTCTATAGCAGTTGCAGGTCACTTTTGAAAGTCTCAGTGGCTTTGGGCTTGACTGCACTGCAGTGTTAGTTCAAGTTATCGACCCATGAGTTAACGCCTGTTGAGTTAGCTGAGCCTGAGTGAGAGCAGCAAAACGTCACTCGAGCAGCATAGCCTGTATGTATTAGCAGTGCAGAGTAGCTGAGGCACTTACTTTGAAAGGCACTGTGATGTTGAGCTGAGTAATGCCTAATACCTTTAAAAATCTGGACCCAAGACCCTATAGTATTACTAGTTCAAGCATCAGCAGCACTTGGCCTTCAACTGCCCCCCACCTCCCCCATAGGTGAGCTAGCTCGAGTTTAAACCACCACTTGAGTTGGAGACTTGTGTGTGCGCGTAGGATTTGGGTTAGGAACAACATTAAAGTTGTATCTCGAGCTAATGCTGCTGTTCTTCCTCTTATCATGGCCCAATCTGGAAACCAGAAAAGACAGACAAGAGCAGGGTGATTCCATACCCCCACTGTTAGAGCACTTCCTGGGATATGGGAGACTCAAGTTCAAGTTCCTGCACCAAACTGAGCAGAGTGGGGATTTGAAAACAGGTCTCCCACCTCCCAGGTGAGTGCCCTAACCACTATGCTCTTGGCTATAATGGGGTGGGGGGGTATTGCTCTCACTTTTTCTTTCTCTGGTATTTTGTGAGAAATGGCTTACCTGGCTTAGGCACCTAACTCCAGGAGAGGGTTCACAGTTGTGAATCCTTAGCACCGATATTGCCTAATTAGCTTTTGATGAACAGGACTTAAGCCATGCCCTTCTCCTCAGCATTTCCTACTATCTTAGTGGCTTGCCACTCAGTATGCTGGCATCCGTGAATCTTTTACAGGTGCCTGACTCTTCCCTTGCATTGTATAGGGAGCCATGGGGCCTTTGGGTTGAGGATTCTCCTGGATGGCAGCTGTGGCAATGCTGAGTGGAGCAATAGGTTCCTTCATGGATTTAGGCCTTAGAAGCTTGTTTCAGAAACCAAATTACAAATGTATTCCAGGGGTGAAGGGAAGGGAGGCGGTCAAGGGGCCATAGCCCACCCACTTTCCACCACAGGCCTGGTCCCCTTCTCAGTGTCTTCCCCCTTCCCCCCCGCCAGGCCGGAAGCTGGAGCTTGGCCTGAGTAAGAATAGCCTGGGGAGCATGGGAAGCTGTGGGGAGCCATGGACCCTCCACCTGCCCAGGGTGGGAGGGCCCCGAGAGCACCCCCCGGTCTGTGTCCCTGTCCCCTGGACCTCCCGGCCAAGGCACATGGAGGGTCCGTGGCTTCCCACAGCTGCCCAGGAGGCTCTTACCATGGCCTGGCTGTGGCTCTTTGGCCCCCGAAGCCCGGCCCCCGGTCAGGCTGGAAGCCGGAACTGGCCCCCGGTCAGGCTGGAAGCCGGAACTGGGTCAGGGTAAGAGCTGCGTGGGCAGCTGTGGGGAGCTGCAGACCTTCCATCTGCCCTGGGTGGGGAGACAGGCTGGGAACTGCTCTCGTGGGGGGGGCCCCACCCCTGGCAGGTGGAGGGGTCTGGGCTCCCTAGCCTGGCTTCTGGTTTGGCCGGGGACCAGGGCCTCAGGGGAAGAGGTTGGGCAGGGGTGGGATCATGGAATGGGTGGGGCCTTGTGGGCCCCCCCCCACTTTTCGGTAGAATATGTCACCCCTGATGTATTCTTAAATACAATAAGCATAATTCAACAGAACAAAGGCCTTGTTTTATAATTTGGAGATGTTAAGTATAGTCTGTCAAACAATGTGTACACTACCATTGTTCCCAAACTTCTTAGTACAGCAACTCCCTTACAGATACTGTACAATTTGGTGGCTCCCCACAACTAAATACCATTTTTTTTTATTATTTTTTTTACTGTCTCAGGACACTAACTTCAAGAGGGACCACTAGTTTGGTTGGTTTGGGACCTTTATTTAACTATTCAGTTGGTTTAATTATATAATGTGATCTAAACCAGATTTTTAAAACAATAATTTGAAAATTATGAATTTTTGACATGTTTGGACACAACTGAAGATTTTAATGAGAAGAATGGTCCTATTTCGAACTGCATGGTTGCACAGTGTTTTCCAGATTTAAATGATTTATGTGTTTAGTTTTCACAAATCATAGGTAAAAACCTAGACTCAAAGATAACTGGGAGCAGCACTTTCATGGATTCATCAAGGAGTTCTTTGTACTGACCATTAACAGAAATCCAGAATTCCTGGATTTTTATATTTGAAATATGTGATCTTCTACATGTGATCACTTGACAATGTGATACTTAAGGTTGGTATGGAGTCATGTGTTACCGAGAATCTGTTTTTAATCCAATCAGTAACAAATGTTCAAATCTATGAAATATTCATCAAAATAGGAATACAACTCAGACAAATGAGTCAATATTTGGTCTGTAGTGGCATTTTGATTACTTTCACTCTGTTCTGTTAAAAAGTGTGATAACCCTGGAAACATCTTGGTAACTCCCTTTTCAATGTGACATTTCCAAAGACAAAGTTGCTTCATGAATTGCCTAGTTTCCTTTCATATCTAGTACATTTGCTTTCCTCCTTGAAGTATTAGGTTCAGTGCATTCAGTCGGTCAAATATTTCCACTAGGTAAGCTAATATATTTAAGAAGTCAGCATTACACATGTAATCTGCAAGGTTTGTTTTCCCAAGAAGGAAAATTCTGATTTTTTTTTGTCACTCAATTCAAAGACCTGTTGTAATACTTCCCCACGTGACTTCTCTGTGAAACAAGTGGAGTGTGGTCAGAGCCCATCTGTTTGCACAGCATAATAAAATGTGTGTTTGCTGCTTGGAATTAACAAATTTGGTAACTGTTGAGGGCCTCACATACTTCACATTGCAGCTTCTTAAATGTCAAAGCTTGGAGGTGAATTATGTAGTGAGTCCAAATTGTTGCTGGTGCCACTTTACTCATTCTGCAGTCCTGCTCTTCTATCAGTCATGGCTGCTGCCCCATCAGGGCACAGCCTCCCCCACAGTCCATTCAAAACTTTCATCCGCTATGAATTTATTGAGGATCTTGTTCTTAACTTGTTCTGTCCGCTGGTCCTGGATGTTTTCTGCAAGATCCATCAGCATGTTGATGGATTGTGGTA